AAATTGAGTTCAACACAAATTTTAAACTAAAATCTCCCTCAATTTTCAAGCAATCTAATACAGTCATTTAACTTGATAATTGAGTCTATCCATATAGTGAAAACCAACGTAAATAGCGAAAAATGGCGATTTTTACTGGTTTCTTTCTTATTTTTCATTGATCTTTCAACCAATTTTCATCAAACTTAACAATTGCATTATAAATGTATCCTCTTTTTTACACTGACGAATTGAATTTCAAAAACTCCCAAATAATTGTGGTCTGAAGTGGGTTTTCATGTTGCCTGTTTTACTCCTTTATGTCCTCGTCTAACTTCGATTGAATAAATACAGACTACTTCTGTTATATCAGTAAATGCATCAATTCAAAATGTTTTTTAATGAAAATACTTTAAAGTAATTGAAGAAGATAGACTCTGTTATATTTAAGCATGATGCTGTTTTTGCTCCATTCTAATTGAATGTTTTTTCTGATCGACCAGCTAGGTATGACTGCTAGTTAAATGTAAACTGACAAAAATAAAATCTGTTTAATGGAGATAACTTCATGTCTAATAACTGCTAATTACAATGATATTTCCATGAGTTTTCTTAATGAGAAAATAAATACAATAAACGAAGAAGTATACTTGAGCTGCTTACACTCTCTTTATCAGCCATAGTGGCATACCAAGGACAAGACTTTGATAATAATTAATAGTAATAATTCAGCTTAATCATAATTATATTTAAGATGTGACCTGACATTGAGTGAAAACATCCAAATGCAGAATTCAAGTGAATAGTACTTTTTAAAATTTATAAAAATTTTTTTCCACCATAAGGACTTTAGCCTTTGTCATTCAAGCAAGAATTTTTGTTTAATGAGAATTACACAAAAAAGCTTTCAAATAATTCTTTCCTACATTTTGGAAAATAGAGAGAAAAATAAAACTCCACACATCAGAGACAATTTTGAAATAATTCAGTTATTAAGATATAAGATAAAAAGACATTTATTTATACTATTTACATTGTTTGGACTGTTGCCCTTATCAATTCCTCCATGAAATATTGAACTGACGGTGGTTCAAAATTCCAGTCACCTGAAGAAGGCCGGTGTGTACAATGCCTGAAATGTTGTGAATATGACAACAAAGATGAGGACAACAGTCTGAACAATGCAAATAGTATAAATACTGACAAAAAAAGATTTATATGAATGTTTATTTTCAAGGATTTGTAATATATATATATATATGTGTGTGTGTGTGTGTAAAAGAAGGAAAATTAAAACTAAATGAAAATGGCAGATGTGTTCATCCTTGGATGTATAACAGATTAATTTGAGACAATGAGAGATTTATTATATTCAGCATGCAAATATATCTTGTTTTTTTAAGAGACCCTTTTTTTTAAAAAAATCCTCTGGATTATCTTGAAGGAGTAAACTTTAGAACAGTTAATATTCTAAAGTACTGACTCACTTTAAGCTTTAGCAAACAGACATAAAAGAACTAAAATCCTCTTTGATATGAATATTTACTGATAACATTTGAGACATAAGATTTTATGCACCTGCCTACTTATAACATGATGATAATGGTGGTAGCTGATATATATATATATATATATATATATATATATATACATATATATATATATATATATATATATATATATATATATATATATATAAATATATATATTTAAAACCAACTGTTTCATAGAGTTGTTGATGACATCAGATGTGTGCTTTTAGCAGATTCATTCAATTAGCTGACAAGAAAGATGCAGATTGGTGTTGAAATATATTTTCAAAATAAAATCACACATTGAAGGACTAAACAGTGATTTAGATTTACTCTGAGAGTATAATTTCTACAGAGGGCCCTTTAACCAACAACAACAACCAACAACATTCCTTGGAAGAATAAGTCCCGCTTCTTCGTTTATTCCTCGTCTCATTGCAGGCATGTCTGAAAATTCCAACTTTAAAATCTTTCTCTTCATGCTTCAATTTAGTCTAAAGGCTAAAATAATAAGTACCATCAATCTTATTGCCAATATTGTTATCATTTTGTTGGTTTTATAATATTCAAATTTTTTTAACTGGTCTATTAAATCTACACATTATAAGAAGTACACGTGGAGCATCTTTTGTTTTAATCATATATATATATATATATATAAAGAGATAGATAGATAGATAGATAGATAGGATTAATACAAATATAAAATTTGTCACTTAGGTGATTTATGTTATATTCAGCATGCCATATCTAGAGTTTTGTAAATTAATTTTTGTGTAATTGTCTGCTTGACTCATCAGAAGTCATCGGCAATTATATATATATATATATGATCTTTAGAAAAAGGATCATATTTTATTAGTCCCAGAACACTAACCATTAATTAAAGTTACACAACTACTAACCATGGGCATATCATACTCGATTTTGAAAATTTCAAGAAGAATATTAAATATAAATCTTTATTTGAAATATTTTACATGCTGGCACTTCAAACTTTGTACTTTGAGTTAACATCAATAGGAACTGAAAAACATATTATTTAGGTAAGAAAACCAGGTACTGAAAATTGTAATTAAAAATAGGAAAATTTACACTGGGTACTATGGGTACCCATGGTTAGTGTTCTAGGGTTAATAAGACAGGATACAAAAAGCATCTTAGGAATGTCAAGAATAATCTGGTAAATGATGAACAACTTAGTCAAAGGAAAATTGCATGATACCTAAGGTTGCTGGTTATAGCCCACTGTCTATGAATTAAGTACCAGGTATGAAGATCATATCTAAGAAAATACTGAAATAATAATAATAATAATAAAAATAATAATAATAATAAAACAAAATATAATAATAATAAGACAAAAAGTGCCTCATTATTGATATAGCAGTCCCTGTAGATTGTAATGTATCTTTGGAGATCTTCAAAAAACTATCAAAATACAAGGACCTTGAAATCAAAATCTCAAAAATGTGGCACATGAGGACATTAACAATTCCAGTTGTAGTTGGAGCCCTCAGATTGATTGGAAAAGATTCCAATAGAATCATTCCTGGTAATCCATGTCTTAAAGAAATACAAAAAATTGTTGTCATGACTACAGCCTACACTCACGAAGGGCTTTATCTATGTAAAATATGTATGATTTTTTTTCAAAACTGCTCAGTGAAAAATGTCATGATCCAATTTCTGACCTCATGTCCCTAGTCTGGACCCAGAAAGAAATGTGTATAAACCAGATACTAAAGGAAATTAAATAATAATAATAATAATAATAATAATAATAATAATTTAATCTAACAATAACTCAATTTCAAACAAAAATTGGAGAAATTTGCTTCTAGATTTTAATTTGCACAATTTTGCTTTTCCAATTTTTATGAAATTCTAGCTTTTTTGCTTCTTTTTTCCAACCAAGATAAGGAATCATAAGAAACAAGATTTGTTTTTGATATGAAATATTAGGATCTTGAATAAGTTCTTGCTGTTTTCCAGATGGCATTCCCAGAACTGTGTGCGTATAGTTTCAGATGGTAACACATCTATAAGGAAGTACTATAAGCAAGCTTGAAATTCAGTGTATGACATTTTGCCAAACTGTAAACAACTTTGTTTTTCATAGCGTTAAACATGTCGGATTTTGTGCCAAAGAAAGTGTATTTTACTGCACTATGATAATTAAAAGAAATCTGCAGCTGAAGGACACAGAATTCTTGTTGAGACTTACAGTGACCATGTTCTGTTGGAAACAATATGCAGAGATTGGTTTAGACACTTCAAAAATAACGATTAGGATGTTGAAGATGAAGAATGCTCTGACGCACCGAAAATATTTGAAAACGAAAAATTGGAGGAATTACTTCATGATACTCATGTCAGGTGTAAGCTGAGCTTGCAGAATCATTTGGTGTTGATCATACAACAGTTTCAAAATGTATGAAAGCATTAGGAATGATTCAAAAGTAAGGATATGTATGAACAGCTGCTTCAATGGCTTAAATGGAAAGGATTTTTGCATCGTATCATGACCGGCGATGAAAAGTGGATACACTATAATAACCCTAAGCATAGAAGAGTATGGTTCAAAGTTTCTACTCTGCATTTGGTGGGATCAGCTGGGTGTAGTTTATTATGTGCTACTTAAACTGACCAAAACCATCACAGGAGATCACTATCAACTACATTTGATGTGTTTGAGCTGAGCATTAAAGAAAAAATGGCCACTATATGAGCAGAGATGCAACAAAGTGATTTTCCAACCTACTTGGAAACACTTAAATGGGAAGTCCTACACAACCCACCATATTCATCAGACATTGCCTCATCCAATTATCCTATTATCACTTGTTCTGATTGATGGTACATGGCCTGGCTGAGAAGCACTTTCATTCTTACGAAGATGCCAAAAAATACGTTGACTCGTGGTTAGCCTCAAAAGACATGTCGTTTTTTCGATGTGGAATTTAAATGCTATCAGAAAGATGGGAAAAAGTAGTGGCTAGGGATGAACAATACTCTCAGTGACATGTTTCTTAGTAATTTTTGTAAATAAAACATTACTTTTCATGAAAAATCAGCAAGAACTTATTCAAGTTCCTATTATTTTTTGGAATTCATTATCTTGAAATATTCTTCAAGTATTTTTTTTTATTTCTGATATAATATTTACCAAATTGCAGCATGTTACACATTTGTGCACCAAATGTAAAGTTTTGCACATTGCAGCAATGAATAAATATGCAACAGAACTTGCTGAAACATGTCTGGCGAAATATCTAATTCAACAACATGAAAATGAAATTGTGTTGAAGGTGACTTCGGCACGGTGATGCAGTTTGTGTGCCTGAAGAATCTAATGTTGTGAACATTTTTACAGTTGAAGAAGAGGGAATATTTAACTTGGAATTTTACTTAGATATAAAGAAAGGAGTGTGGCAGGGGTCAGATTAGCAAAGGGAAAAAAGCACTGGATGTTTATAAAGAATTTACTGAGAACGCCAATAATGTAGGGAGAAAGTGAGGCACAGGAGAGAGAGAGAAAGAGAGATTGGGTTGAGAAGAGCGAGAGAAAAAGTGAAAGAAATATAGACAGGAAGAAATGTCATGAGAAAAGATGAACAAAGAAGAACTTGAGAGATAAAGAAAAAGAGATAAAATAAAGTAAGAGGGAGTGAACTGGAAAAGAAAGGAGAAAAATAAGAGAGGGGAGGAGACGTGGGGCGGCCATTTAAAGAGACAGGAAATGTAAATTGATGAAAGGAGAAGAAGAAACAGAAAGAGCAAGGAAAAGATAAATGTGAGAGAAAAACAGAGAGGTGGGGAGCAATTGGATGCACACTAATGGGAGAGAAGAAATAAAGAAAGAAAAAGAAAAGAAGGAAAGAGAAAGAGAAGGAAAGGAGATGAAAAATGGGAGCAGGAAAGAAGAGAGATCAAGCAAGAGAAAGAAAGAGAGAAAAAGGCAATAAAGAGAAAAGAGAGAAGGTGAAAAAAACAGTAAAAATGCAAATTTAAGAGAAATTGAGATTGAAGAAGGAAAAGGTAGTAGAAAGAGAAAAGAATGAAACAGACTGAGATATATATATATATATATATTATATATATATATATCATATATATATATATGTGTGTGTGTGTGTATATATATATATATATATATATATATATATAAAGGAAGAGGTTATAGATGTTCCAATGAGAGAAAATGTATATTTTAAAAAGAAGAGAGAAACCATGAAAATTTTTGGTTAAAATGTGGATTTTTTAAAAAAATATATATTACAATTTATTTTCCATAATTTTGCTACATGTGTTTCTGGTCTTACAACTTTCATCAAGCAAAAAGTTGTTATTTCCATATATTATTAAAAGTAATTCATTTTCCTTATGTTTTCAATGTTTGACCATTGTTGGGTTACTACTACAAACAAAAGACAATGGTTAAACATTGAAAACATAAGGAAAATTAATTTCTTTTAATAATATGTAAAAATAACCACTCTTTGCCAGATGAAGATCAGAAGATCAGAATCTCGTGTAGCAAAAATATGGAAAATAAAGTATATTATATATTTTAAAAAATCCACATTATAACCAAAAATATTTGCAGTTTCTCTTTTTAATATATATATATATATATATATATATATATATATATATATATGTTTTTTTGAACAATAAAAAAAATTAAAAAATTAAAATTTTCAGACTGTGTATTAATATTTTTTCGTTTTTATTATTTCAGTTATATTCCTTGACTAGTTTCGACCAGCATGGCCATCATCAAGAAAAAAAAGTTTCTGCTTGTTAGTAGCAGTGAACTACAGGAAAATATATATATATATATACATAGATAGATAGAGAGAGAGAGAGATAGAGAGTGAGTGAGTGAGAGAAAATGACTCAGACATGAATACATTGAGATAGTTAATTATCTAGATTGTTACATAGGTAGATCAAAAGAAAATGATTTAGATATAAATGGACTGATATATTATATCAAAATAACAAAAATAATAGATTTCTCACAGCTACTTTCTCACACACACACACACACTAATGTATCATACTTTATATACTGTACACCTGTCTTTGTTTACAATTGAAAGGCTGGCTACCGCCACCAAGTGGTCACTTAGAGAACTAATATGACTCATTCTGCTAAGCCAGCAAATTTTGAAATACATTGCTGACAATTTGGAAGTATTTTTTCCTGCAGATTTTGTTCGTTCCATCCAAAGTCCATTGATTGTTTTGTAGGTTTGTCTGTATTTAATATGCTAATGAACTCAGGGAACAACTAATAGTAATATTTGAATTTGCATTTTAGTAAGTAACATAAAATTAGACTGTCAAAAGTAAAAATAAGTAATTATGAAACTTAACACTTTTCTTATTTCTCTTTTATATTAACTCTGGTGTGAAAAGGAGTTTAGCTGACATATTTTCACAAGTTATGCATTAAATGTCAAAGAGCTGTATGTCGCTTGCAAGCCATAGTTTGGACAGCCTTTATACTGAGAAGAGAATATTTGAAGCCAATAATCCAACAGTGGCAACAAATTTCTTTTTGTAAACAAAACTGCTCTTAATCATCTGAGAGAATCCTTTCTGCTTTCCATTAGTATGGCTGATGCTAACCTTCAGAACAGTGACTTATTGCACCTAACATTTTCCATTGACCTAAAATGGAAAGATTATATTGAATCTAGGTTTACTGCTAGGAAAGTTGGTTTACTGTGTCGCGTTGGACAGTTTTTCTCAGCAGAATCTATCGTACATATATATGTCTACCAATCATCCATGCCTTGAATATTGCTGCCACATATGGTCTGGTGCTCCTGCTATATATTTAAAAATACTTGATAAAATCCAAAGAAAAATCTGCAGTGTTATTGGTCCTGAGCTGGCATCTCAGCTTCAGTCATTTTTCTACTGCTGTAACATAATTTCCCTGTGCTTTTTCTATAAATATTTTCATGGTAATTGTCCTAATAAGCTCTTTTCTCTATGGTACCTAGACTTTATGAACAGTACTAGGTTGGTGGCAAGGTCTCATCATTTTACAGTTGAAATAGCTAGATATACCTGTAAGTTTTATGCTAAGAGTTTCTTCTCTCACACTTCTTGCTTGTGGAACTCTCTTCTAGCTTCTTGCTTTCCAAGTTTGATCTTCAAAAATTTAAATGCAATGTCAATTGTTATCTTCTGTTTTCTAAATTCCTGTTCTTTCTTTTATTGTTCTCATTTATTAATAATGGTTTTCCTTTTTTTATGTTCTTTCACAGTCAGTAACCTCCTACATCTCATTGGCTTTATTGCCTTGCTTAAAGTGAAATGGTTTTTTAAAGAACTTGGAAAAATAACTCAAAAATTGTTTTTCAGATTCATAATAAATAATGTACAAAGTATTTCTGAAAGTAAACATGTGGTATATTTAATAATAATTTAAGGAAAACCGGAACTCTCAAATATAAAAGACACAGACAGAAACAGTTTTTTTTTCTTTGGGAAGAGAAAAAAGATGTTAAGACTATGAAATGAGAAGCCAAAGAAGAAGAAGAAAAAGAAGGATAGAAAAATTAATATGAAGATAATTAAAAAGAAGCACAAAAATTTAAGAAAGCAGAATAAATGAAAAAGTGTAAAGCAAAAAAGAGAGAAATATTAATGAGAAGAAAAAGAAAAAATAAATGAGAAAAAGGGAGAGGGAGAAAGAGTAAGATGGAAAACAGAGAGAAAGGAGAAAAAGGAAAAAGAAAAAAGAAAAAGAAGTACAGAAAGAAAGAATGAGAAGAAAAACAAAAAAGTTTAGAGAAAGAAAAGTGAGAAAAAGGAGAAAGAATAGAGAGGAAGAAGAAAAACAGAAAAAGTAAAAAGGAAAGAAAGAAAATGTATGAAGAAAATAAACCAGAAAGAGAGACAGAATAGTATGAAGAAGAAGAAAGGCTAAAGTTGAAAACAAGTAATAATTAATATTCATACCAACTAATTTATTAAACAAGCAATAATGCAGCTATTTTGAATCCCTTAGCTGATTGGCTGACAAACGCTAACCACTTCAAAACTGGCTTTATTATTTAGTGGGCTGGTTACCAAGTTTTTACTGAGCTGGGGATTTTAAGTGGAAGAAGGTCACAAATCTTTGGATACTTGGCATGCATCCATTAAATTTAAGAAAGAGTCCTTGTTGAGTTGAGACTTTTGGATATTTATAGTTGGATGGTAAAAACAGTAGAAAAAAAAACAAGGTTACATCTACATATAACAAATTTATTTTAATAGCAAAATTGTCCAGATCATGTATCAGCATAATTGTCCATCCCACAAAATGTTTAATATGTAAAAAACCACTAAACTAATTTTCTTTTTTCCAGATTTTCAGATAAGATGTTTAGCCATCTTGACACCATTTGTCATAAGAATCACTGAAAAACTCTTTGAGTAATTCAGCTAGAAAGAGAACAGGATAAAATCATTTTGTGGCAGCCCCACTATCTTCTCAAATGTGCAATAGTGAGAGGAAAAAGATCATCCAGGTCTTCAGTAATGGTACCAACATTCATACTCAGGCTTCCATCTTCAAAGACCATTCAAGAACCATAACAAGAATGGGGAATAAGTTTAAGAAAGAGGAAACTGTAGACAGGAAAACTGGATCAGGAGGTCACAACAGGAAGAGGGATCAACATTTCAACTTATAGCTAAAGAGATCAATTAGAAAAGATCCAACTCAATTTATAATACGTTTGGCACATGAGGGAGGAGTTTCAGCAATGACAGTCTGAACAGCAGTGAAAAAAGATTTGAAAATTAAATTGTACATGAAACCTGTGAGGCACCTTGTTACTCCAGGTTAGAAAGTTAGAAGGTTAAAGAAGGCAAAGATTATCTTGAATAAGTTGGAAAATTATCCTGAATAATATATATATATATATATATATATATATATATATATATATATATAAGAGGCTCTGGTGAAATAAATTATTATAATGGTACCTTAAAGTGGTCTGTTTTTCTTTTAAATATTAGCTCTGGATTTAAATTGAGCTCTCAGAATTTCATCCTCCTTGGGATTACCCATAGGGATTACCAAGTTCTTCATAACTTATATATATATATATATATATATATATATATATATATATATATATATATATATATATTTGAATTTTATTTCAACCCTTCATGAGCTTCCTGTCCTAATGATGAGTATATAAGAAAAAAGCACAAAGTCTCTCTCTCTCTCTCTCTCTCTCTTTTTGTCTCTCTTCTTTTCTCTTTTAGCCATAGGATTCAAGATAGGGTGTGTTTCATTTCTCCTGTGGGGTACTTTTCAGAAACCAACAGGCAAAACCTTTTCTCAAATGTAAATCTCTCAACATCTTTAATAAGACTTAGCACACGTATGTATGAAAAAAAGGAAATTCTCTGCATACATGCCTGCATTCACTTCATTTGTATTCTGTCTATATAGTTTACTGAAGCAATAAAATATGTTAAGTATAAATGTAATTATTTATATATATATTCAAACTCTCATCTTTGAGGAGCTCCTATGCATCCACAATACTATTGACTAATATTTATTTTTATCCCATGATATGTAGGGGCACCATGTGTACTGCAGCTGCAGTAGAAGTGGTATTTCTTGGGCAGGATAGAATGACGGAGCCCAATCCTCTCCAGGCCAGTTTTGAATTCAGGGTTTTTCCTTCTCCTAGACTGGTTGCCACCCAAGGCTATAGAACCTACTCTGTCTTGCTATTTACCCATAGCTGGAAGGAGAGGAAGAGGATTCATACCTTTCCCAAGGGTATTAGCATGTAAGTGAATGTAATGGATCCGACTGGAATTTGAACTCTGCTCGCTGATTCCTCAATCCGAGCCGCTATCTCACTGTGCCTCCACCATATCAACATGAATGTATGCCTTTAACAATTGATAATCCAGTAACATATTTACAGTCGGGGAGTTGCCAGGATATATCTTTTGAGAAAGATTTCTTGTATACACTGAAAAATTTCAATGTGTAATTTCAGGATTTGTGAGTAGCATGATTCTTTTT